AAATCCCCCCCCCCCCCCCCCCCCCCCAAGCTCCCAAATTTCCCGCCGCACCCTATGGCTACACCCGATGCCGGTACCGGTGACAACAACGGGGGAAGGAGGGGGGGGAGGAATCTCACCGGAAAGCAAAAGCGGGATCGCGGCCGATCCTCACCGCTGGCTTCCTCCCGCTCTGGCGGCTGAGCCGGAGACAACCGTGGCCGTTCCCTTCCTCCCAACGCCGGAGCGTTGGCGCAGCCGGCTCCAAGCCAACGGGCAAGCCCCACCCCGGCACGGGGCCTCGCTTCCCCCTTTTTTCCCCTCCCTGTTTCCCAAAACACGGAGCGACGGCGTTGGTTTCTCACCGGGATGAAGAGCCGGGTGGTTTCGCCTTTCCTACGTCGCCGTGCCTCGATTTCCCCGCTCCGCCACGGGAAGACGCGGCTCTCTATTAGAAAAATCCCTGGGGAAATAAAAATAAAGCTGGAAAAATTCCTGCCGGCTCCAAAGGGAAGCGGGGGATTCCCTACGGAGCGGCGTAGCCCCCCCATGCCCAAAAAAACTGGAGCCTCCGCTCGTTTAAATCCCAAATCAGCCTCATCCTCGCGGATCATCTAATTAAGAGGCAAAGAACCATTTAATTAAGAAGCGAACGAGAAGAAGCAAACGCCTTCGCTCCTGTTTTTGAATCGTCAGCGTTTTTAACCGAAATCAGCATTTTTATGAGGGAAACCGAGGCCGGATGAGGCGCATCGAAGCCAAAAATGAGGAGAAGACGGAGTTTTGTTCCCCTCCTCCTGCAGCAGGTGAAAAAAAAAAAAGCTGGCAAGGCTGAAAAAAGCAGGAAAAAAAGCAGCTTTTACCCACGCTGAGGCAAAAAAAAAAAAAAAAAAGGGTTTTTATTCGGGGTGAGAAGCGCTAAAAACCAGCAAAAGATCAGAGGCCGAGATGCGCCGGGCGACGACGGCGACGACGCTGCCCGGCCGCTTTGCGCAGGTATTTGGGGTGAAACCGGCCATTTTCTGGCAAATCCTGAGCAGCCGGAGCTACGCGCCAAAACCGGCAGGGGATCTCCCTCCCCAGAACCCGTTTTCCCCCGGTTTTACCCTAAATACGCCCCGACGCCCACGCGGGATCTAAAGGGCGAGAGAAGATAAAGCCGGCGCTTCTGGAAGGAGCCTGTAATAAGGCCAGGCAGGTAATTAAGCGGAAAATTAACGAAGGGAGACGCGCGCCGGCTCAGCGCCGACTGACGAGGTTGTTTTCCAGCCTCCCGCCGCCTGTAACTACCCCGCGGGCGGGGAGAGGTACAAAACTTCCATTTCTTCACATCAGATCGACCTTTTTTTTCAGCAAAAAAAGCCTTTTTTCCCCCCTTTTTTCCCCGCGGAACGAACAACGGGAGCGTCCTCAACGTAAATTTGAGGCAAAAAACGGGGAAAACGTTTCAAACCCAAACCCGCCGCTGGTTTTTCACCCGCCGGCGAGTGAAGAGCTGCGGTATCCTTCACCGAAACCCCCCAAAATTCGGACAACGGCAGCACAGCCCCCGCCGGCCACCTGTAAATTAATTGCTTTTAGATTAATTAATCTCCGAGTCCTCTAATGAGGAAGCTCGACGCAAATGACGTCACCCGGGGGTGAAACCAGGACGCCGGTACCCCGGCAAAGGAGGATTTCACCCCCACCGCACACCGAGATTCCCCTTTTCCATGGGTAAATCCGGCTGGAGGATCTTCTTCGTTTCCTTAACGAGCAGGAGCGTCCTCCCGCTAACGAGCAAACCCCAAATCCACAGCCCCAAAAAAAACTACACCCTGCACGCGCGTCGCCACCAATCCAGGTCGGCTGAAACTACAACCGTAAAAACCGCTCTGAAAATCGGCTTCCTGCCGCCTCGCGCTTCTCGTTAATCGATCAGTTAGCGATTGTTAGGGTGGGGCGGAGTCCCGCCACGTTGGGGTGCTCCAGGAGGAGCCGGGGCGCGGTGTAGAGTCGGCACCCCGTGAAACGGAGTCAGGCGAAGGCAGCTGCGGGCGCGGGGAGGAACACAAGCGTTTTGGGTGGTTTTTAACCAAAATTCAAAGTGTATTTTAACGCTAATTTCTCTCCGTGAAGGAATTAAGTCGGAGGTGGAAGAAGGGTTGAGGTTGAATAAGTCTCTGTCCCGACAACTTAGATTTTAACAACTTGAGCGGCAACACACGGACTCTTCCGCTCGCCCGTAGTGTCTTCCCGCTGTAGGTACAGGCGGCCGTAGGTACCCCCGACCTGGCCCTTCGTCAGCCGGCCAGGATTGATGCAGACGCAGCCCAGCACCTCCTGTGGGAATACAAGAGCGATGGTCATGGATCCGGATGCCAACAGCCGCAACCTCCTGGCTACAGCCGGCAGGGACGCCAACAACTGCAACCCCCCCAGCTACAGCCGTCAGGGACACCAATGGCTGCAACCCCCTGGCTACAGCCAGCAGGGACGCCAACAACCGCAACCCCCCAGCTACAGCTGGCAGGGACACCGATGGCTGCAATCCCCTGGCTACAGCCAGCAGGGACACCAACAACCGCAACCCCCCGGCTACAGTCGCTGCCACGCACGAGACTGTGCTTTATTCGTGCTGTCAACCGGGTTTTACCCAAATACGTCAAAATACAGTGTTTTTTGGGGGTACTTCAGGAGGTGCGCACGCCGACTGACCTTAACGAAGTACCGCAGCTCCGAGGGGGTGACGAGGACGTCGGGGGTGACGGGTAACGAGGCGTAGCTGTAGAAGCTCTCGTAGTCGACGTTCAGCTCCTCCGAAGGGGGGTACAGCGGGTAGTAACTACCAGAGAGGGGGGACAACAGGTTACCGCAGCCTTCGCCTGTAGCAACAGCGCCGTGACACCATCTCGGACACAACCGGCAGGTAATTTTGGGGTAGAAAGAGTTATTTCTGCTTCTTTTGGCTGTCAGCCGGTAGCTGCTATCTCTGAGGGCAGCTGTCAGCTGAGGAAGCCTGACGCACACCAGTCCGGAGGACTTACAGCGCTAAAACCCTCCAAAATCCTGTTTTTCAAGGGTTATCAAACCCCAAAAAGGGCATTTTTTAGGTTAAAAAAAATGACTTTAAAGGGGAAGGCAGCAAAAAGAGTGCCGGATTTCCCTCGTTTGGCCACAAAAAAGCCCTTTTTGGGTTCGACGGCGTGCTCGCACCGAGCCCTCACCTCCTCTGCGTCAGGATGTGCTTGAGGATTCGCGTGAACCTGTCCGAGATCCCGGATGAGCTGCGAGAGAAAACAAGCGGTAAAACGGTGAAGGAAAGGGAGGAAAAAGGAAAAAACCAAAAAAAAAAAACTTGCGGGCTGTGCTAATTAATTAGGCACGTGGCCTAATTCACGACCCGGTAGCCACTCTGCTAGGAACGGAGGGATGGGGCAGCTCTGCCGCCGCATCGGATGCGCCGGGAGGGAAACCGGAGGAGACCACGGAGAGGCAACACCCCCCCGGGATGAGGCTTCCTGCCGAGATTCCGCGAATTCGGGGCTGAATCCGGCGGGAGATCCCTGCTCCCGACGCATTCCCGAAGCCGGGCTTCCCGCCAGCACCCACCAGCTGATCTCCTCGGCGCCCATGTGGAAGAGGAGGTCGGTGGAGGTCAGGCCGAAAACGACGCCGTCGACGTCGAGGGTGCAGGGGTCCGACACGAAATGCACGCGCTGCGGCAAAACCGCCCCAAACCCACCTAAAAATGCTGTAGTCACGCTGGGCTTTCCTCAAATACCCCCAATCTACCCTAAACCACCCCAAACTTGCCCTAAAATGCCACAATCGTGATAAGCTTTCCTTAAATGCCCCAGACTGGCCTAAAACCACCCCAAACCCGCCTAAAAACCGCCCCAAACCCACCTAAAAATGCTGTAGTCACGCTGGGCTTTCCTCAAATACCCCCAATCTACCCTAAACCACCCCAAACTTGCCCTAAAATGCCACAATCGTGATAAGCTTTCCTTAAATGCCCCAGACTGGCCTAAAACCACCCCAAACCCGCCTAAAAACCGCCCCAAACCCACCTAAAAATGCTGTAGTCACGCTGGGCTTTCCTCAAATACCCCCAATCTACCCTAAACCACCCCAAACTTGCCCTAAAATGCCACAATCGTGATAAGCTTTCCTTAAATGCCCCAGACTGGCCTAAAACCACCCCAAACCCGCCTAAAAACCGCCCCAAACCCACCTAAAAATGCTGTAGTCACGCTGGGCTTTCCTCAAATACCCCCAATCTACCCTAAACCACCCCAAACTTGCCCTAAAATGCCACAATCGTGATAAGCTTTCCTTAAATGCCCCAGACTGGCCTAAAACCACCCCAAACCCGCCTAAAAACCGCCCCAAACCCACCTAAAAATGCTGTAGTCACGCTGGGCTTTCCTCAAATACCCCCAATCTACCCTAAACCACCCCAAACTTGCCCTAAAATGCCACAATCGTGATAAGCTTTCCTTAAATGCCCCAGACTGGCCTAAAACCACCCCAAACCCGCCTAAAAACCGCCCCAAACCCACCTAAAAATGCTGTAGTCACGCTGGGCTTTCCTCAAATACCCCCAATCTACCCTAAACCACCCCAAACTTGCCCTAAAACACCGCAATCACGCTAAGCTTTTCTTGAACACCCCTAAACCGGTCCTAAAATGCCCCTAAACCAGTCCTAAAACGCCACCATCACGCTAAGCTTTCCTTAAACGCCCCAAATACACCCCAAAAAAACGCCGCAGCTGCGCTGGACTTTCTACCAGGAGCATCCGAAGCTGCTCCCTAGGGATAAAAAAAGTGAAATTAGGGAATTTTAACCCAAAAAGGGCTGGAGGCCGACGGCACCATCGTCCCGCTGCTTTTATTTAATTCCCCGTTTGCTCGTTAAGCGGCTCGGGGAACGCCGTGACCTAACGAGCGAGGCGTGGGACCGTCGGATTTCCGCTCCCAAATCCCATCTCCTCCAGGAAGTCACAGCTTTACTGGTATCTGCTCCCAAAGGGGATTTATTTTTTTGGCAAGAAATCGCTGCCGGATGGGAAAAGAAACCGGAAAAAAAAAAAAAAAGAGGGATTTCACCTCAAAGCTCGGCAACTTGGTTTTTTTTGCAAGGACAGGTGGGGTTTTCCCGGAAATTCAGCTTTTTTGGGGGGGTAAAAAGCGGAATCGCCGCACGAGGGTTCGTTACCGGTTTGTCGTCTTTCGGCAGCTCGGGGTAGAGGAACGGCGGCTGCGGGTAGACGTAGTCGTGGTGGACGTCGCGCAGCGAGGGGACGAAGACGAGGTGAGAGCCGGCGCTGGCGGAAAAAGAGGGAAAAACCAGGTGATGAATTGACGCGGGGAGCCGAGAAACAATTCACCGCCCAAAACCACCACTTCACGTAGAAACTACAGCCGGACGCTCTCCAAAATAGCCCGTTTTGGGGCATTCTTGGCAGCGAGAGGACCCAAAATCTGCTGAAATTCCCCCAAAAGCTGCTCAGGGGAGGCATTTCACCCCGCGTGAAGGGAAGGGGCTGTGAGATGAGGATGTTTTTTTCTAGGGTTGAAGCCCCCGAGGGTGTTGTTGAACAATCGGGCTGAGAATACAGCCCTCCCCCGTTGTGCGGGGACGGGACCTCGTCCCCCTCTACCTGAGAAACAGGAAAAAAAAGATTAAAACCGGCCGTTTTAGTGAATTTAGAAAACAATCGTAAAGGACAAAGTCTGGATACGCTAAGAAAATGAGGTAGCAGCAAGTCTGAGTGACGCTGGAGGGGTGTGAAGAGGTGTTTCGGGGTGTCCCCGGCCCCTCGGGGGACAACAATCAGGTTGTTGACAGCGCGAGGGACGAGGTTATCGCATCCCCGTCCCTGCCGGAGTCTGGCAGCGCCCGGCAGGAAGGCAAAAAAACACCCTCGTTTGTTCTTTGTTCGCGCTGTCCCTCGCACCGCCGGGAGGGGTGAAGCGCCGTCAACCGTCCCTGCCGCAACACCGGGGAGGGGAAAAAAAGCGCCGCCAACCGTTCCCGGTTCCTTTTTTTTGGGGGAAAAAGCCAGGATCCAGCTATAAATCACGGCCGGCAGCAAGCAAACGCGACCCAAATCCATTTCAGAGCCTGTTACGAGGCTTTCAACCAAAACCCAACGATTTCCCCCCTCTCACCGCCTGTTTCCCTCGCAGGAATCGGTTGAATCCCCCCCGTCCGGATCTCGTTTGGTGCCGAAAGAGGAATTTTTGGGCCAAAACCACCCGTGGAAACGGTAATAACGCGACGCGGTCGCTGTCCCTACCTTCTCGTCCCTTCGATTATCGTCTTCAGGCAGAGCTTGAAGACCTCGGCGAAGGACCCCAGGAGCTGGCAGTTCTACGAATTGGGGGAAAACAACGGGATTTGCACAATTCCCCCTTTTTTTTGGGGTGCGCAGGGAGGACGCCGCGACACCCCCACCGCCTCCCCAAGCTTCTCTGCCCTCCCAGAGTCCGGCACCGTGGATCCGTCGCCCCAAAATCCGTGCGGATGGGAGAATTTGGGGGAAAAAAATCACCCCCCTCCGCCACCCCGCTCGCACGCTGGGGGGGTTTTGGGGGGTCGCCCCGCTGAGCCCCCCCCGAGGGGGGACCCCAGGGCCCCCCAATTCTCCCTCACCTCCACTTGTTCGTGTTTGGCATCCAGGAACGGCCCAAACTGCGAAGAAACGGTGAAAAAAATCAGAGAAAACCACAAGCGGGGACGCCCCCCCAGGCGTTGCCAGCCCCGGGAGCCCCGCGAAACGCGCGAAACCGCCCAGAAAAAGGTATTTTTTTAAATTATTCTTCTTAATTAAGCTCAAATTTTATCCTGCAGCCCCAAAACGGTCGGGGCAAACCAAGCCTAAAAGGAGAGATTGATAAAAGCAGCGCGTCCTTTCCGAGCGGGCAAGTCGGGCTGCTGGGGACGCTCAAAGAGCACGATTTGCTCTTAAAACACGGCTTTTTTTGTCACTTTAGGGTGAAAAACAGGCGTTTTGGGGTTACGCCCGAGCCGCCTCTCTCCTCAGCAGCCATTTGTTACCCTGATTTTCAATGTTTTGGAACCTCAAATGCGTTTTGACCCTGCGGCCTCTTGGTTTATCACATATAATCGGTTTAATTAATAAAAATAACGGGTTTAGATAATAAAAGCGGGGTCTCCCGAGATCGGGGGGACCCCGTTCCCGCCGCGGCCCCTCACCAGGACGCAGACGTCGGGGCGGTCGCGGCCGATCACCTCGACGAGGTCGGCGAGCGGGTCGTAGGCGATGCTGTCGGAGGGGGTGTAGGGTCCGCAGGCCACCAGCACCATCCTCTGCTCTGCAGGGACAAAAAAAAAAAAAAAAAAAAAAAAAAAGGGGTTTTGC